TCGCCTCGGTGCCATCGAGTGCAAAGAAACACTGGGGCCGGCGTCGTGAAGGGTTTATTTGTCATCGCACGCTGGACACATCACGAAGCAGTCGAGCTTTTTCAGCTGCAGACGTGTGCAAGAAACAAAAGTGCCGCTCTGGACAGTTTTTTGTTCGCCGCATCAATGAAACACCGACTTCAACACAACGCTGTGGAGAAGTTGTTTCAGCGCATCGGCTTTAAATTATGGATCAAGTGATAAACCGCACAGATGTCTGAGTGGTTCAAATCAAAAGGGACGCTTGTTGTTACAGCTCAGGCCTCCTGTAAAGAGTGAAAACAGAAGCAGGAGAGGAAACTCAGCAGCTCTGTGGGCTTACAAAGAAATATACATACAATGAGGGAATAAATTCCACTTCAGCTGCAAAAAAAAAAAGATTTCCACAACAAGTTGGTGCCACAAAAAGAAAAAAAGAGCATCAGCTGAGTGCAGAGTCAGAGGCAGGTTAGCTTAGCTTAGCATAAGCAGAGAGGGAAACAGCTAGCCTGCCCTCAGTAATCAACACATTAGATCAGGCTAAAGTAAACCTTGGCCTTTGGTTAGGTTTAGTTTAGTTTTTAGAACTTGAATCCTGTGCCGGCTTGCTTTCAATGTGATTTAAATTAATATAAATTAAACCATCGAACTGTTTTGTCCACCGTCGGTACATCATTCATCAATCAGGCCTCGTTTATGTTTGTTTATTCTTATTTAGTTCTGTAAAATGTCAATGTCTACAATACTTTATTTATACGATACTTGGGAAATCTGCATTGTTATCAGTAGAAAAATAAAAAAATAAACCAAAAATATACTTAAGTGTCCAAATTAGTGGTTAAATACAAACAAAGTGTTTAAATTCTAATTTTGTTTTGTGTTGTTGCCATTAATTAAAAACAGCTCAACAATTAGCAACTGAAATTAAACATTCATACATTTTGTAGCTGCGTTGCTCGGCTTTGCGTTACGTCTCGTTCGTTTAGTCCACACACCAACTGAAAATTAGAAACGACAATTTGTGTTTGTAGCTGCATGCTGTAACAGGCTAGCTCTTTATGCTAAGCTAAGCTAAGCTAGCCGTCTCACTGCTTAAGCTCTGAGCTAAACACACACACACACACGAGTGACATCAGTCTTTTCATCTAATCGTTTGCAAGAACCTCACATTTCCAAAACCCCCGCCTTGTCCCTGAACACAGGTGTGTCCCGGTTCTTTCTTCCCCACCTGTATCGTCTCTCACCCACTTCCTCCTCTCTCATTACAGAAACCTCGGGGGGGAAAATGAAGCTGTGATATCTCATCCGGTCTGTCTCGGCGGGTCACCTTTGAGTTTACGCTCCTCATCGATCACCAACCTTCGACCCTCCGATCGTCCTCATGCGTCTTTCCAACAAACTGATTATCATAAAGTGATCTCTGGTGAATAATAAAGCGCCTGAACTTGACTCCTGCACACGCTGGATGAACACGTTGGGTCATTTAATCCCACTGTTTCTCCTTCATGTCTGATTCAGACACACAGATTAATGTGGATTTCAGTCTGAGCCGCATTATTAAGAGAAAACAAAGAGCGCCTTGTTTGCTAATCGAGGATTTTGAAGCCAGAGGTTCCCAGTGTTGGAATGTTTTATTTTCTAATTACATAAGACGGGTGATTTTTTTATTTTTTTTTTGTCCTTTGAGGAGAAGATTCGGTAATTCGCCTCGTTGCTGCAGCTGGATGGTGGCAGTTCGCCGCCGTCTGGGGAGGAAAACGTTGCAGGGGGAACGTTTCTCAGCAGGAGACGTTTCAGATGTTTCTCATAAAAGCCAGAGGAGAAAAAATATCTGTTTCAAAGGGTCTACTTTGCAGGGAACGCTGGCCTCAAACTGCCAGAGCAAAAGTCCAAACTAGAATATTTTACATCCCAAAAACCCAGTAGGTTTGTTATAAAGAAATGAAGCAAACAATGGGTTATGTCAAAAAATAAAATACGATTCCACTCTGCGACAAAAGCTTCAAAGATGTAAATGAATCGCCAGAGTTTAGTGCTTTTATTGTGAAAGATGGAAGATGATAAAATGCTGGGGTGCAGCACAAATAGTGACTAAAAGTTAAAAGCCTCATTAATTGTTCTGCTAAATACTAAAGTAGCTACTCGTGGATTCATCTTACTGTGTAGGAGTCATATTTATTTAACCCTTTAAACCTCAAAACCCTTTATTCACCAAAAACACTACCAAAATGGCGCCATTTACCAGAGCAGGAAACCATAACAACAAAATTATCGGCTTTCCAACGACGCTTGAACTAATCATCCAAGCTCAAATCTGAGCTTAAGATTTTGATATTTCTTCAAAATCACTTTACTCCTCATGTTGCATTTAAAAAATATTCCAAAAATAAACCATCAGCTCGAACCAGATTCTGTTAAAAACAAAAAATTCTGCCGTCCGAAGCGCAACTGAGAAGCCACGAGTGACTCAGCTGTGACCAAAAGTTGACTGACAAAAATTCGGCTGAACTGCAGGCTGTGTACGAAAACAAATTAGAGAAACTGGGAGGAAAATAAAACACATTTGATCAATAAAACGAATGCTGCGTGGCTCAAAAATGGTAAACAGAGGAGAAGGTTGTTGGACGATGCATGCAGCATGGTGAAACTTTTATTTTGTTGTTGTTGTTTTGATGTTGTTTAGGTGTTTTCTCTCCTTCTTCATGGTAGTTCTGTTTCCTTCTTTAGATTGCAGTGAAAAATGAGCCAAATAGTCGTACAGGATAGTAGTATTAGTAGAAAAATGATGCCGATCTGAGCCACAAACCCCGACAAGAGTCTGAGTCACGAGCTGCTTTTATCAGCCTGATCAATTCTCAGGAAGCTTTAAGTGTGGTTTGGTTTGAACAGCCTCCAAACCAGCACAAAACGCTGAATGGATGAAATCACTGCTTTATAATTCATCGGAAAAAGAGAAAAAGGTCAAAATCTGTTTTTCTGCAGCTGCCAAAAGCATCACCTCAGAGATTAATAGCAAAGCAAACAGCGTGCTGCAGCACTTTATGTGGACGGGTCTTTCCATCGAGGTCAGCGGGACGGAGCTCCACGCCGTCCTTGGTGATGAAAGTGTTTTTCGGTTTCAGAAGAAAATTGCCGGACCTCATTGAAGGACACCTGAGTGTGTCCTTGTTTCATTTTCCAGTAAATATAAAGGGAAAAAAAAAAAACGGAGGGCGGCGGAGTCAAGGATGAAGCCTGGTTTGGAGATAAGAAAGCTGAAGCAATCTTTGTGCACACAGCAAGGAGCCGCCGGAAAAAAGGCCTTTTAAAAAACATAAAAGCATGCCTCCTTCTCTTTAGATTTGATATGACACGCAGCCAAACAGGGAGAGGTAGTTTCAGGTGACTTGTTCTGGGTAGCACCGTGAGGTAAAGTGCATGAACGCCAAATGAGTAACGCTCTCCTTTTCCTTAATAGCTACTGTCAAAGTCCCATTTAGCGAGGCACTTTACCCCCGGCTGCTCCGACCTGCAGCCGCACCGAGCTGCAGCAACACTGCAAACACGCTCCATCGACTCGGCCCGGATAAACAGCAGTTGCTTTTGCTAAAGTACTTTCTGAATAATGCCGTCTGGCGAGGGGGAAATGTCTCGGGACTATTTTGCTTCCCGCAGGGCGCCGGCGCTGTCGGAGGAGGAAAAACACAATCGAGGCCCGTGTGCTTGACAGAGCTGTTTTCAGCCCAACCGCAGATGTTGAGTTCTGTTTCTGTGCTTTGCCTTTGCAGGATTTTTCTCCTCCAAACTCCTGCTTCATTTTTCATGTGACGGCTGTTTTCCACTGCGAGCCTCCTCGGGCAGTAAGACGAGCTGTTTGCCGTTCATGTGACTGAGCGTGAGGGACTCCGATCCTTTCAGCGCACACTCGCACTACGACTGCACAGCAAAGAAATCATGTCGCTGAAATGTAGTAATAATCAATCAAACACTCCGATTGCTGGTGACTTTTTCGCCAACACAAAGCAAAACTAATGATGCAGCAGTCAGCTCAGAGACACCGACAGTCCGCTCTTACTTTGTCTTGTGAATTATTTATGAATAAAATCTGCTGCTTATTGTTATGTTAATACAGGACATTTTTCTTTTACGTTCTATTTATCTGGGCAGTAAATGCTGAGCATGAACGTATTTTTCAAAAGCCTGCAACAGCCGAAGAATTATGGCAGAATGGCATCAATTATAGAGGAATGAACAATCCAGCGCTTGTGAACTTGCTGTGAAATGCTCCCGTTTCTTCTAAAACACAAGAATGTGAAACTTTGTGTTTTGGAAACTTGCCGGCATTTTTTGGCATTTTCGAGTTAAATGACTAAATAAACATTAGACCACCGACAGATTTTTAGCCCCACAACTTCTGAGCCCGCTTTTGAGGTTTCCACAAAAAGGAACACAGTTACGCAACTGAATCAAAAGAGGGAACATCAGTGAATTTTTAAAATGGGAAACATACAACTTTAAGTGTTTGTACTCAGAGGCAACTTAAACCAGCTGTCCTCATTCAAGAATCCGATGGGACTGGACTGAGGCCTTGAAACTCCAACACAGCATCCACTACAGAGAAAACCAGGTGAACTTGCTTTTGCTTTTGCAACTTTAGACTTCAACTAGTTCACAATGAAAAAGTTGGGTGACCAGTGGGAATGACATAGTCTGCTACTTCTGTGGAAATGGGTTGGAAAATCAACTGGCACGCTAAAATCTTGGCAAAATCCCTTTGATGGGCTGATGTCTATTTCTGCCTCCAGGTTATAAAATGTTGTACTTATTGATTCTTGGGGATCAGAGGGTTCACCTGGGAAACTCTGAGTTTTTCTCAGAATTTAACTCCTACTTCTGCTCTGTAATCTTTTTTTCTTATCTTTTCTTTCTTTAAATCTACAGTCACTAACATCTGATATCATATGTAACGCTGCACTAACGAAAAGTAAACATCTTTCTCTTACCATCATGAGTTCCCGCTGGAAGGACTTCCTCTCCTTGTTCTCCATGTTGGTACACTCCTCTTTGAGCTTCTCCAGGACCGACGCCACCTTCTCCGGCTCGTTGTCCAGCTCGGTCCGACAAAAATAATTCAGTGGCAGATTCCCGTACCCCAAGGCGTCTGCAAACGCCCTCCAGTTACCCACGTTCTCCATCAAAACCGTCCTCACGGTCGCGTAGATGTACGTGAGAAACTTGCAAGGCTTCAGGATCTGCTCCAGCAGCATTGTGGTCGTCAGGTCCGGCCCACACCAATAAATGGGCTTGACCTTACCCAGAACCAAGACGTTCTTGGCGTGGACAAGCCCCATCTTCCCTTGATAGTATCCAATGTACCACTCCTTGGTCCGCAACTGCCCTCGTAGTTTAATTTTCTCCTCACTGAGTAAAGCAATAACATCCCCCTTCTTGTACTCCAATAGATACGTACTCTTGTGCTGCCTGATCACCGTTTTGATCAACTTGCCAAATTTCAGGTTTGTAATACACCGATCCTGAAACTTTGGGTATTTGGAGGTGACAGCCAGTGGCGAGAGAACAATCTTATCCACCTCTTTCTTTTTCAGAAACCTCCTCTGGCCGGTAATCCTTGCTCCAGTCTTTGGCGGCGGCTGCGGGGTTTGGACGCAGAACTGAGTGAGGATGCAGTCGAGGGCGTCCTTCACCTGGACCCTGAGAGTGAAGTCTGAGATGCTGCTGGGGTTGTGCGACGTGATCATGTACAGGAGCCTGCTGACCTTCCCCAGTTTTACCTGAAATCCACGAACCACCCCGGCGCCCTCATTAGCCTTCACCTGGTAGTTGGACATGTTGGAGTACAATCCGACCTGGAGGTCCTGAGGATATCCCAACACAAACTGGTGCTTCCCCCACAGTTGGAGGGCCACTGGTGGGGTCGAGGTAGCCTGCCGGCCAACCTCGTTTACTAACAAGGTTTTGGGTGCACAGTCATGCCCAAACATGGCCACAACTGTTTTGAATGAAGGGTGAATATGCTTGGGTCCATACACGCCCAGAGTTACTTTCCTCTGCACGTGGTCCCAAACAGTCATATTGCGGCTGATGTACTGCGACTGGATCACAACAGCCACATACATGCAAGGCTCAAGACTATCCAGCTGCACCTGAACTGTATCCTTGTAAATGTAAGCATTAGGGATTGGTGTGTAAGGCCCTTCTTTACAGTCACTTCGAACACAAAGCACTTCAGCAGAGTGACAACTCTCTTTCTTCACAGTCACCGATACCTTTATCTCCAGTGTGATGAAGGACTTGGTCTCCATGTTGCTGAGCTTGATCTCCACCACGGGGCTGACAGTGGAGCAGTGGTCACTGTTGAGCTCCAGAGGAGGGTCCAGCAAGGCTTTCATGGAGATCTGCTGGTGGTCTCCGTGGCTGACGTGGCCCTCAGGGATGTGTATGCTGATTTGTGTGTCCGGAAGCTGAACAACCCCTCCATTACTGTCCAACCTGCACACGATGTTGGTCTCCACCGGCTGTGTCTGGCCCCATCCGGGACTCTGACCCAGGGAGTCAAGGTCATGGCAAGACCTGGCGAGCTTTCTGTGGTTCAACCAAGCTGTCCTGAAGTCCTCTCTGCTCTGAAACTGCTCTGGCGCTGGAGCCTTTAGGCCCGTAAAGAACCCAGAAGAAGGTAAGGTCGGATTTGCCTGCGCCTGCAGAACAGACAGTTCTGACAGACTGTGGGAGCGTTTACTCCTGAAAAACGGATTATCCCTGTGGAGGTTAGGTCCAATCTCTTGAATGGGACTGGTGGGGTTGGTGTTGTTCATATGGCAGCTGCTGAACCCGTTGCTCATGATTGTACCAGTGTTAAAGTTAGAGCAGGATGACGGAGATGCCAAAGCGTCAAAGACAATAAGATCTGCAGAGTTCCTCACAACGACATCTTTGCAGTTTTGATCTAACGGGCAGATAAACGGGTTCACAGAAAACGGGCTGTTGTTGTAAACCGTGGAGGGTTTCAGGCTTATCCCCGTCCACTCCCCAAGACCCCCAAACTCCTTTGACCCGTCCTCATAGCCCTCTCCAAGACTGTCGATCATCCCGCTGTCACTAAGCGAAGAGTTCCTGAAGTTGACCGGCTGGACGTAGGCGGCTGGGATGTATCCCATTTCTGTGTTGTTGTGGGCGTACCACCACTCTCCACCTGACGTGTCCAGCACATACAGGTGATCGCCTTTGGAAAACTTCAGCGTGGTAAAACTGCTTGGGCAATAATCCTTTATGGCGACCACCTCCTGTGCAGCTCCATAGGAGGCCGAAGTGTCCAGCCTTAAGGCACTGGGAGAAGGCACTGAAAAAGAAGGACATCAGAGTTGTATCTGTCCTGATTGCAAAGTGTTTTATAAATGGTTTGGCTCTACTTTAGATAAGTGCACTTAATCACATATTGGCTGATTACTCACTGTGCTGCAGTTACCAGTGCTTGTCCCATAATCAGACACAGATATAATGGACCAGTTTAGCTAATCAGACAGCAATACTTTGGATCAGACATGTGTCCAAATAGGTCAATGATCCAGTCCCTAATCATGGAAAAATATTAATTAAGCATACCTTCATAATACCTAAAAGCTTATTTCTAATCATGTGAATCCAAATGTAATTTTTTCATGTATGTATGAGGAGATGAACCGCATATATTACTATTTTTAGTTCACCTCATTAGAGTACATGGAGCATGTAAACAAAGCTGTAATGAAGTGAAACCAGTAAAAATTAAAGAGCCAGATAAGAACAACATCATTTTCAGCTGCATAATTTAATTGCAAAAAAGATGAAAAGCACATAATTAAAACAACAAATTATTCACAATTTAGAGATACCGAGTAATTAATCATAGTCTTGTACCGCCCAGAAGAGAGGCTGCACTCCAGTTCTCAGACTTTTTGATTAGATTTTCACTACATACTACAGCTGCCCTAACAGAGTGTAGTGTAGGGTCTATAAAAAGCATTCATCCTTTTTAGTTTTCTTCTTTAGTGTGTTTCAACTTTAATGATTGTCAATTAGATTAGTCTTTTTTTTGTAAGTCTGCCGAGAGCAGGCCGTCCTAAAACCTGAGCAAGAAGGAGACCTATGACTCCTCTGAAGGAG